ACTTGATAACTTGTCATCAGCAATCGTCGAGTCATTTGCTGGTTATTGTTAGCCATAAAATGCCTTAATTAGACCATCGCGCAGTTGAATGGTTGGCCTTTGGTAGGCGTTCGTGTACTTGTTGTATATTCCAATAATTGAGATCTTTTAATAATCAAGGAAGAACATAAGCGTAACATGAGAGAGAGAGAGAGAGAGGTAAAGAGAGAGAGGGGTAGAGAGGGATATATAAATATATATATCTTTATTTCATAAAATCTTCGTTTACGCGTATATAGCATGATGCAGATAGACGGAAGGGGGGAGGGGTATGGAAGTTAAACATGACTGCAACCCAGCAACCTTGGGATCGTAAACACGGTATTTGCATTGATGATAGGCGCGATAGTCCACTTCTAGATTAACACTATCACTTCCGCAGATGAAGTGGCAATAAAAGTTTCTACTTTGTGATCAAATTCACCTACACTGTTACGTCTATTATGTGCACCGCTGTCCCTTTATTTGTCATTAACATTTCTTTTGTTTAATTCGGAAACGCTTAAATAGAATTGATTACCACTATAATAACCAATTATTATTACATGAAGATCATGAACATTAACCGATAAATTCTAAAAAAAAAAAATATATATATATATAGTATTTCCGATCAATACAAAGCACAAGCATCGAAAATTGACTGAACATAATGCACGCACAATAGCATTACCGTTTTATCGCCAAACATAAAATAATGTCAAAAATCACGTCATACTGTTTGCTTGCGTGCAGCGGAAGAAGTCGTAGTAAATATTTCAGACAAAGAATCGATTGTGTATTATATTTTTTATTTATCGATTATCGTAGCACGGCTTTACCGAACTGCTGACCATACTAATTAGACATTATTATTTATATTTCTTTAATGGGGTAATACTGTTATTTCAGTAGCATAAATTTGACATGCGTTCACATCATGTATAAGCAATATTTTTTTTATGAATTTGTTCCATTTTATATACTCTTTAAAAAAAGTAGGGGATATTCAGAAACAATACAAAACTGCGGAAATGCACTGCTAATTTTAGTGTGTGTGTGTGGGGGGGGGGGGGGGGGTGGATGGCTGAATGGTTAGCGTGCGCGCGCTGTATCATAAAGTCTGTCATTGAGTCGACTGGCGTGGTTTCGAATCCCCGGTTGTACGTGACAAGGAGTAGGGTCGCCTGTCCAACCTCGTGGGTTTTCTCCGGGTCCTCCGGTTTCCTCCCACTGCTAAAGACCCCTACGCGCAAGCGAATTATTGAAATAAAAATTAAAACCATGTTAGTCCCGAAATGACCTAGTTTGTGTCGAGTGGACGTTAAACCCCATTTCTCTCTCTCTCTGCTAATTTTATTAGATGTAACCAGTGTATGTTAATAACAACGTATAGTCGTTCGGATGGGACAAAACCGAGGTCACGTGGAATTCGAAATAAAGAGTAGGCTGTAGCGCCGCTGTCTGGGCAAAATTTCCCTGAACACTGCATGGCGTAAGCCCGTCTTCATTAGACCAGTCGGTGCAGAAAGGTAGGACGTTAAACCCCATTTCATTTCATTTCGGATCTATCGATAGCTCCCACAGCGCTTGGTAGTCTGGAATTTTATCACCCATGCTTCACTTACAGCGAATATTATGTAGATGAACATGTTGGTAGCATTAACATCATTATACTTCATTTATCTTCGAGAGTGATAAAACTGGATCAGATTAATGTGAGAGTGAAACTTTTATTGACAGAATATTGCGAATAAAAACAGTAAAAAACAAAAAATGCCGACCCGCATGTAATTAGGCTTGTATCATTCCACGAGTACTCACAGGCATAATATTAAAACTTAATGGACTGACACATCTCATGCTGGGATAGCCGACAATTTAATGAACAAAAATGTAATAAAACACTAAATAGGACGGTAAAATTAAATATACATTAAAATTAAATTACTGTATCTTCCAATGGTAATTTTACATGTGATCGTAAACTACAAATTACTATTTATATATATATTTAACAAACTCAGTACCATTGTAGTCGCTTCTCATCTAGATTTTCTGTCAAATACAAGACTCATAGACAAATTAGATGATATGAAGTTTAACGTTTTATTTCTGGGATAATGAGGACCGACATACGCCATGATGTGTGCTATGTGGATAATGTTACCCTGACAGCGGATCTGTTCCCTATACTCTTGTTACAATTTGCCGGGTACGGACACCTTTACATGCCAGTCCCACCGTCCAAAGACTATACCTCTGTGCTTTATGCATTCTAAATCCATTGGATAATTGTAACCATCATAAACTATTTCGGGTTATAATTTAGTCATATTTATATACATAAACGTTGTGTAAGTGGTATGTTTAGCTTTTGAACATCTGATACCACTTTTATGTGTGAGGAAGGTTCATGCAGCTGGCAGTATCAGAAATTCCTTTATGATTATTTCAAGCTTTTGTTATTTAATTACTTATTTACACTGTAGTCGTGTATGTTATTAGACAATTTTCTTTACTGTGTATTCGAAATCTCGAGCACATAGAATCGATGAAGTCCCGTTTGAAACATATACCAGAATCAGTAGAGGTAATTCAGACAAATTGAGAAACTTTTTATATTATCTGGCATGATTAATAATATCAATTAAATTTAATGGTTAATAAATATCATTGCAATTTAGCATTAAAAAAAAGATAATAATTATGACTTATAGTTCGCACGAGATGGCAAGAATAGTACAGATAAGTTAATGAGCTACAAGGGAATTAATAAATAAAGAAACAAAAAAAGAAGATATAGAGAATCTCCTACCAGTCTTTTTTGATATAAAAAAATATCAACACAAGTTGATAAAGTATAACAAAAACGAAGCTCTGACGAGTTTGTTTTTTTACTTTATCAACGAGTGTTGATATTTTTTGATATCAAAAAAGACGAGTAGAAGATTTTATTTATCACCCAATCCCTTCTTACATGCACAAATAGATAAATATAATTCTTTGCTGTAGATTTCACTTTTACTGAACATTACGGCGTAATGATACATCATTTTTTGACAGCAATTCAACCATTGCAAAATCCTTTATATTGACCCAGTGTTTCCATCCAGTTCAATTGAATAACAATAGTTCATTTTTAATAAAAAAAACCAAACTTTTAATAAGAAATGAACTGTTCTTTGAAAATAAAAAAAAGTAGTTCCTTTTCAACTGACCAATCAAATTCATGTAAAGCGATATCTCCTAAGGAGATATCGCAGTAGATTATGAAATATATCACACAAGCGATATCTACTGTAGAATGTATTATTGGGTGATAAACTCGGTTATCTACTCTTCAGAATTTAATAAAAATAACAAGATACTGAAATCAAAGACAAATGTTAGCTTGAATTGAAGAACAAACTCCCCGCTGATAATCATCAATATTTTAACTGGTTAACTGATTACATTTTACTCCCTCGTAATTTTTGTCATCATGCCATCATGACGTTTACCTCATATTAACCTGTTAAAAGCAATTTAACCTAGATGCCATATCCGTTCCGTTTGTTATGGCAGCTAACGCGGAACAAAATAAAACAGAAATTTGATTTTATTTTAATTAACCGTGTTGATTGTGATAATGAGGTTGTTTCTTACAAAAATATTAACTATATATACTATTTTTGACGCATTGCCCACAACAATTAACAAGAAACCTGAATGAGGAGATAATATAATTATCAAATGAAGTAGGTGTTCATTGAGTTGTACAGTCTTGGGTCTCAAAAAAAAACGATACACAAACTCCTGTTAGTAGAATTCGTGGCATCCCTCTGTCGGTTTTCGCGAAACCGGCCAAACTCCTAAAAGGCGACCATGCTTCCAGTATTATTTATTATGGTTTAAGCTAAGCATGTTTATTTTATGGATAAGTTCAAAAATGTCTTGGTGGATATTCAGCTATTGGGAGAGGAAGGTTATAGCCGTGCGTCCAGTTCACAGTAATCGTAGATGATCCCTTAATATGTCGACTTCTAAAGCGGATGTGACATATTTTGCCTCATGACGAGATAAACCCTATCTTATTTAATCGTAAAAGAATAGTATCCACTAATGTGCCACAGACAACAGCGTTTGATCGCTTTAGAAACAAACCGTTATCGTGTTGACCTATTGTCTATACGTAAAATGGAACCATATGTTAGTCCCAAATTAACCTAGTTTGTGTTGAATGGACTCTATCTTTCCCTTTCCCCCAGTCTCCCACTCTTTCTCTCCCTCCATTACATGATGATGAGTTATAACTAACATGCATGTACTAAGTTCCCACCATCACGATTCGTGTTGCGATTTAAATAGTGGTTTAATAGTGCAGTAATCGAGGTGATCCTTTCAGGTCTCATCATATATTGAGGTCATTCGTTGCAATCGTGTTAATCGTATTGAAACGTACCAGATCGTGGACTCAATAGGGACAAACCTATCGCAACGCATCGTACGACAGTGGGAACCTAGGGCCAATTTCACGAAGCGTACGTACTGTTAGTTACAAGTTGAATAGATAGTAGTAGTTCGATTCGTGTATAGGAGCAATAAATGTCTTTCTGGATATCTGAATTGTTTGGCTATACATATGCACAGATTAATCTAAGTGATTTACTTAAGTGCCTTATACTATTTATAGCTATCTTTTTGTGGGTTTATAGCCCCGTTAAAATTAGTTCATTCAAATAATTTACGTCTAAATACTGTATTTTCCCTAAACACTATTATTGCTAGTCTGACGTGATGAGTAGGAAATAAAGTCAACATGAGACGTAATTTTGAAAAGTAATTGTGTACGTGAAGATTTATTGAACAACTCAATCAAGATGCCATCACAATATAGTTTTGACGCCATCAAGTTGTATTTGAAAATGTTGTAGTCTCCCTAACAATGTACAAGTTCAATGAAATAAACCAGTCTTTTTATATATTTCTTTCTATTTCAGTTGATTGGACCGCAGTTCATTTGGGCTATAGAGCCAGTGGTCGGCGACAAGTGGATTCCGGAAATGGAACAAGCGTGGTCCGATCTATTTAAATACATCAGCCATATAATGAAAGCGTCCATGACGTTTTGACGGGTTTGTCTTCATTACTGCCAGCTGAAAATGATGTTCTGCCTTTTAATGACGAAACCAAACATGCTTAGTTCAAGAATCCTACATTACATAATGAAGAAGTCGACAACTAACGAAATTGTTATGTAAAATGCTCCTGGGGAATAAATATAAATCTATGGGGGATAAATCATCCCGCAGTTTTACGCCTCCAATTCTAACACCTTAATTAGGCCCAGAGAGAAAATGCAGCATGAAAAATGGTATGAAATGTTCTTGTTGTTTTTGCCTAATGGATGCTATAAATAGAAAATCCAATAGACAATGCAACCCAACAGCTTGGCAACATGAGAAAAACAACGCTGATAATACAGCGTAGAAAACAAGAAACTTTCATCAGAAAAGTTAACCTATTTCAAATTACAAGGACAATAATTCCACGTGAACCCTTTTGAATTAAAAGAAATACAGTATGTTAAAGCCATTCTTCTTTAAACTATTATCATAATAGAATAGGGACTGTGGTGTTTTCAAAGTGTTACTACAGACATGTTGTACAATTTATCATATCATGGTATATTATTAGATATATTATGTGTATTGTATTTCTTCACGCCACGAGTTGCTGAGATATTTAGCATCAACAATAAGAATTCTTAAAAATTCATGTAATTATTTTATTCTGTGTGCAAAAAAATCGAGTAAATCGGCTATTTTGCTAATTACATAAATGATCAACTTTTTGGGTTTGAAACAAACAGTAAATTTTTCTTTTTGCAACACAATATTCATGTATTCGGGACAAAAACTACGGGATCAGTCATTTAATGTAAATATGTGTATATAGTATGTTAATTTGATGTCGTAAACTGTGATAGGTTCGGAAAAAATCTTGTACACTCAATGATATTATGTATTGTATATATAATTGTATGTAGATATAAAGTTAAAGTCGAATTAATGAATTGATTGTTGTTGATGCATAATGAATAAACTCAGGGAATTTTGCAATTTGTCGTGCGATGCGTTACGAATGCGATGGTGGGCTATTCGTAACGTCGTGGAATTTTTATTTACTTCGCTGAAATTTCACGTTTAGATACGAGGTGGTGAGAGTCGATACGTAATGGTGCGATTAGGTCACGACTGGTCAATTTCAGGTGACACGATCTGGTCTCCCGTTCGGATACGTTCCGAAAGGATTGTCTCTATTGAGTTCACGATCTGGTGCGTGCAGATACGTTCGGACACGTTTCCATACGATAATTAGGGGCGGATTGGGCCATCGGGCGGTCGGGCGGACTGTCGGACAAAAAATGAAAAAAAATAATTTTGTCCAATTCGTCTAAAAAAAACTTTTTCTGCTGAACATTATATGGGGATGGGGGGTGGGGGGTATTGGACCGGCCATGGAGCGATGATGATCATGTTGTATGTGGCCGGTGGCTTTAACGGGCGGCCACGCCATCACTGGAATCTGGAATGGGCTGGTATAATAGACTTCATGAATTTCACTTTCGTCACTCTGTACCAATGTGTCGCGTGGCCTTCCATCACGGGAGGAATCAACTAGCGCTCCCAGCAACAAAAATGGGACATTTTTCAATTAAAATATTCCTACTTATTCAATATTTCTAACTGGTTAATCAAATGATCAAAATTTTCTCAACTAGTCCCATTTTTTAACCAGTTGATATATCTTGACTCTTTACGATAAAAAGAATGATAATACGTTAATTAATAATATGAAGATATGATAATTTCACAGGTTGATGGTTGTAAATTACTTGCAGGTCGGGGTTTTGGCCTAAATTAATCGATTTATGAGACATATTATTTGACAGAGATTATAATCAGATATGCCACCAAATCGCATATTTGGGGTTCATTTTTCAAAATTTTCCATGGCGAGAGCCCCCGGACCCCCCGTCCGGGCTCCGCGGACAATAAAAGGGGCCGCTCCGACACGGAAGCCCGGGCCGGTTCCTGGCCCCAATCCGCCCCTGGGTAGGATACGATTGTGGTCGCGATGTCTTTTACGATCGGGATCGAGAGTGATCACAGTTTGAGCTACAATTGGACCCCGACGGCCCGACTCGCCATGGCCTTCATTGTTTCCTGAACTTCTACAGGGATCGCAGTGCATCTTAATGCTAGGTTCACTATGACGAATCGTGGTCTTAATCGTGGTGATCCTATCAGGTCTTATCATATCTTGTGATTAGCCGTGATAATCGTAAAAATGTTTTGGACTGTTCAAAACTTTTCTACGATCAACACGATTAATTTTCAATCGTAATCATCGCACCAGATCGTATTGGATGGTAACAATACGCAACAGGTCGTATCTGAACGGGAGACCAGATTGTGTCACCGGAAATTGACCAATCATGACTATATCGCATTCAAGCACACCAATTCGTACCAGAACGTATCGACTCGCATCACCCCATTCCACGATCAGCTAAGAATGGCCAGTGGTCGCGTTTATAGCACATCACACGACAGATAAGATAATATTTTTGAAATGAAATGGGGTTTAACGTGTCCTACTTTTCTACACCGACTGGGATACGGACGACGAACATACGTGATGCAGTGTGTTTTTAGGGCACTATTGCCCAGACAGCGGCACTACGGCCTTGCCTTATATCAAAACCCAACTGTCAAGCGTTCAGTGTGTACACGGAACTTCGGTTTAATGTCATCCCGAACGACTAGACAGCTGTCCTTGTCAGGGTTAATATTTCGAAATATGCATATATAGAATAACATATGTATGGGTGCCAGAAGCACTAAAAGAATTTAAACGCTTTTAAACAGATAAAAGGATACAATACGCATTAATTTGATCGTCCAAAAGTAAAAACCAGTGGTTACCAGGCAAGATACGCCCACATTTTGCAAGAGATGTATCAACAACAGGCTAAAAAAAGCGATTTTTCGTACAATCAGGGGTCTTAATTCAGGAAGTTATAGTTTGAAATCCGGGAATATCGAAATGGACTGAGTTACTTGGAATAAAAAGATATATTTTAGGTTTCATCAAAATCGGATACAAATTGTGACTTCTAGAGGGTCCTCAACCTTGGTATTACATACTTTTACACTATTTGCGTACAATGAGCGGTCATTTTGCCAGGCAGTTTCGGTCCGGTTTTTACGAAATTCAAACTCAACCGTCAATAGGGTGTAACGGTGATATATGATTTTTTTTGTACAACCAGGGGCCATAATCTAGGAAGTTACGGTCCGATATGCGCAAATATCGAAAGAAAAGAACATCTTTGGATTATAATCATACATTCAAAGTTTCATCAAAATCAGATGAAAATTGTGACCCCTTCGTGTTCATAAGCTAAAAACGTGAGTTTTCGTACAATCAGGGGCCATAATCCATGAAATTTTAACTTTACAAATTTATATGAGGTGTTCTTAATTGTGTTCTTTGTCCCCTGTGTTGAGTTATATTTTCCGTCAGTGTTATTGAAGTTACATCCCACTTCTACTCGTTGCCACTGGCAACCATTGATAAAACTGTCCTGTTTAATTGCAATACATGCATAAAAGTATCCGTGTATCGGGAATGGACAGAAAATGTACTGTCCATTTCTGATACACGGATACTTTTAAACCGTTTTAGATACCTATCAAGCAATAAGTAGCGGACGTTTAGTCCGACCCAGATCTAGGGTGACCCACCATAAATAAATATCTCCATATATCTCGACAATTACGCCACAATATTTATATATATGCCAAGCCTCAAATCAGTTTCACACAATTATAGTCACTAAATAAACGATCATGTTGTACTTAATAAGCTATGACCATTAATCATCTATAAATAATAGACTGAAAACTGGTTCCAGGTGTCGTCCATAACATCCAGACACTTTTGAGTAAAAGATAGGTTACGTGCCCTTGTTTTGAAATTAGTCTCGCTTAACCAGTCTTTCGACCATTCTACGTCTGATTGACAGGTCGGGATAATCAAGACTACTTTTTTTACGAAACATAACAGAAAGCTAGAACAAGAAATTGAATTTAGAAATAAGCACGTTAGGTAGCTCAACAATCGTTTTAAGAACCTTGTAAAAGTAAAATGAAACTACTGCTAGTATCATGTTCCTGTCTAACCCGAGTGATTCAGAGATATTATTTGTACTAAACCAAAAGATGCCGCTCTTAACGGTACAGTTAATGATAAAGCGATTTAAAAAATGAAACGAACGTAATTTCTAAATCTGCTATAATAACCAAGAAGCTTAATTTCACTGCTATTCAAATTCGTCAGCAATAATTTTTTTACGGCTGTAATAGTTGATAGATTTGTAGAGAATTGCACGTGCCATGGCTATTTATAGTATACTATTCAAAAAAAGTAGGGGATATTTGATTTTGGGGGCATAATACTAAAATATGCAAATGACTACGAAAAAAGTCACTATAGAACCTAACAGAAGAAACATTTCCAGTTACATGTGACGCCCAAACGCACCAATAGCTACCGCATGGAATGCAGGTGATGCTTGGGATCATCATGGGGGTCCAACCCAAGATTTGCACGACTCTGACTTTGAATGTTACAGTCATTGTGGCATTGAATTCCAGGGTGGAAACATCAGTTTAATTGTTTTAGTGACCAGAAAACAAATTTTAATATGCGTCGGCTTACCCAAAATGAAAGGTTACGTGCCCTTGGCATGCTACAGATCGGCACAACACAGGCGGTTGTGGCGCGGACGATGAATGTTTCTCAGTCTGTCATAAGCAGGCTATGGTCCAGATACCGTGATACACAATCTGTACAGGACAGACCACGCTCAGGTAGACCAAGGGCGACTACTCAAGCCCAGGATCGATTTATCCGTACCTTGGCCTTGAGAAATCGTGTCATCACAGCAAATCAGATCAGCGCTCGTCTTCAAACAGACACTGGTGTGAGAGTGAGTGGCCAGACGATTCGGAATCGACTGCATAGGGGTCACCTTCGCGCCCGACGTCCTCGCGTGATCCCTTGTTTGAGAGATCATCACATTCAGGCAAGACGTCGTTGGTGTAGGGATCGTCAACACTGGGATAATCGAAGCTGGAGCAATGTGATGTTTTCAGATGAGTCAAGGTTCACTGTTGATTTTTTGGACAGACGTAGGAGGGTGTGGCGTCGTCGAAACGAGCGCTTCCAAGACG